TGCTACCCAGATGTTCTTTTACATGGACATTCATAATAAGCTCTGCATGGTTTGAGATTACCAGGTCCAGCAGAGCATCATTCCTAGTTGGGGTCTCTATGAACTGTACCAAAAAGTTATCATGTGGTAGGTTTAAAAATGTTTGCCTTTTAACTGTTCCTGCAGTAACATTTCTCCAGTCAATTTCCGGGTAGTTAAAATCCCCCATTATTATCACTGTCCCAACCCTTTCAATCTGTGCAAGAAGCGGAGTCTTCACTTCCTTATTAACACTGGGAGGCCTATAACAAACTCCAATGATTACCTTTGTAATACGTACCCCCATGTGCAGTTCCACCCATAATGCTTCAGCCTCATCACTCTCTCCATCAACTAGGTCCTCATTCACACTCGCTCTGAAATCAGTCATCTGATGTCAGACATCTTCTTTCCACAGCATTGATTGGTCCAGAGCTTTTTGTGTTGAAAGTCTTGCAAGATGTCCAAATCTATTGATAGAGGAATGAAGTCACAATTTATCTTTGTGGTCTGAGCTTGTGTAAAGAAAAAAAGTCTACACTAAACTCATCACAAAGAATTCAGAGCTTACTTTGGACCAGAAATTTTCCCTTGCCACTCGAATATATATATTTAGATAAGGTTTAAATAGAATATTTTATATAGATAGTGGGGTTTTTTTGTTGTTTTTTTTGTTTTAATTGCGAGATTTTTTTTTTTTTTTTTAGTGTCATTTCAATGCCGACACATTGTAAGAATTTTTCATGTGTTAAAAGTTGCCTCTAATTAGTCTTTATGCACAGGGGCCTAATAAAATACTATCATCTTTGCTGGAGCCTTCTGCCAGGAGCTGGCAGAAAAGTCCAGAGTAAATAATGTTAATTTTGGTGCTTACATGCCTTTATGTGCATTTGCAGGTGTATGGCATTTAGAAGCGTATGTGTGCAAACTCATTCTATTGCGTAGATTAGTAATTTATTCTAGCTACTAGAGCCACAATCATCATATCTCTCTATAACTATACAGTTGTGCTCATAAGTTGGCATACCCTGGCAAAAATTGTGACATCTTGGCATGGATATTGAAAATATGACTTATCTTGCCAAGAAACTGTCTTTTATTTAAACCTAGTGATCATATGAAGCCATTTGTTATCACATAGTTATTTGGCTCTTTTTTCAGTCATATTGATAACAGAAATCACCCAAATGACCCTGATCCAAAGTTTACATACCCTGGAATGTTTGGCTTTGGTAAAGACACACGGTGCCACATAGGTTATAAGGACAAAGGTTAATTTTCCACATCTGTAACTTTTTAAAGCAGAGTTCCACCCAAAAGTGGAAGTACTGCTTTTCTGCCTCCTCCCCCCCTCCACTGCCAAATTTGGTACCTTTTTGGGGGGAGTGGGTATCTGATTTTTACAGGTAACAGCCCCACTTCTGGCCCAGTTTGCTACTGCTAACTGAGCCGGAAGTTCACCCCCCCCCCCCCGCAGCCCTCTGGGACACTTCACAGGTGAGAACTGTGGCCCATTCACATAGCGCAGCGTTCCTTGCGCATGCACAGCAGGACACTGGCTGTGAAGCCGCAAGGCTTCACTGCCGGTTTCCCTTAGTCAAGATGGTGGCGCCAGAACCTAACAGCCAAATGAAGAGGGGGTGGAACTCAGCTTTATATTGCAATTAGTGTCTGTGTGTAAATAGTCAGTGAGTTTGTTAGGTCTCACGTGGATCTACTCAGCAGGCTAGAAACTGAACCATGGGGAGCAGACAAGACCTGTCAAAAGACATGCTTAACAAAGTAATAAACTTTATAAAGATGGAAAAGGATATAAAAAAGATATTCAAAGCCTTGAACATGCCAGTCAATACTGTTCAATCACTTATTAAGTAGTGGAACATTTGGGAACCTCTTGTTACCAAGTCGTGGTCAGGTAGACCAAGAAAGATTGCATCTACAACTGTAAAGGCTTCTTTCTGGCATCTCGACTATGCAGCTCATTGTTCAAGTATTGTCTTACTGTGCTCCTTAAAACAACCACACTGTCTTTTTTCCAGAGCAGCCTGTATTTCTCCTGAGGTTACCTGTGGGTTTTTCTTTGTATCCTGAACAATTCTGCTGGCAGTTATAGCTGCAATCTTTCTTGGTCTACCTCACCTTGGCTTGGTATCAAGAGATTCCCAAATTTTCCACTTCTTAGTAAGTGATTGAATAGTACTGACTGGCATATTCAAGGCTTTGGATATCTTTTTATATTCTTTTCCATCTTTATAAAGTTCCATTACCTTGTTAACCAGGTGTTTTGAGAGTTCTTGTCTGCTCCCCACGCCTCCGAATCTAGCCTGCTCAGTGCATCCACGTGAGAGCTTACAAACTCACTATTTATAGAGACACTAATTGCAATTTAAAAAGCCATAGATGTGGGAAATCGATCTTTAATTGCCATTGTAACCTGTGTGTGTCATCTTGTGTTTCTGTACAAAGGCCCAACCTTCCAGGGTATGTAAACTTTTGATCAGGGCCATTTAGGTGATTTTTGTTATCATCATGATTTAAAAATGAGGCAAACAACTAAGTGATAATAAATGGCTTTATATGATCACTAGCCTTAAATAAAATTTAGTTTTTTGGCATGATCAGTTATATTTTCAATATCAATGCCTATATTTCATGATTTTTGTCAGGGTGTGCAAACTTTTGAGCACGACTGTATGCTAAATAAGATTTTATGCTACAAAATATTTAAAAAATAGTATGCAGAATGAACTTTTGACTATTACAATATATTGGTGAGCTACGTTCAGTAAAGAAAGGTGCCTGTGCATGTTGTAATCGTTCTAGGATCTCTGTAACCTTCCTGAGAAACTTTTGCTCCAGAAAAGAATAGAAAGAAAAAAATATCATCTGGTATTTTTCACAAGCATATTTCACTAGAAACCTTTTCCATATTTTTGAGTTATTAAAAAACCTTCCTAATAAAACAGGATACAACTCCATATAAATCCTGGATGCACTTTAATGTTTATAACCACAGAGATTGAGTTGCTAGGCAAGATGATTGTATGCCACATTCACTAAACGTTTAAAGATGTCATTTGTCTTCTTTCTCTCCATCTACTGTAAATACTACCTGCAGCAACACTCCTGACCCATAACAGACGGACGGGGCACACTAGCACTAAACTGACTCCTGGCTACCTGAGGGTAATTTGATATAGTGTCTGTAATAACTTGGTGAATTGAAAAACTTTTCCTGTCCATATACTGTAGCTTACTTTACAATTTTGAAGGAGCCATAACTATTAAAAAAAAAATTGCATGATTTCTTTTCATGTAACGTTAAACATATAAGTGAGCAATTTGAAAATGATCTTGATAAATTTTCTTGACTGCATTTTTAAAATAACTAATCACACAGTAGGTGGGAGAATGTGTACACAGGACAGCTATTAGTCATGCACTCCACAAATCTAGCCTTTATGGAAGAGTGGCAATAAGTAAGTCATTGTTGAAAGAAAGCCATGATGAGATGAGATCAAAACTGAACTTTTTGGCCTAAAAGCAAAATTCTGTTTGGCAGAAAACTAACACTGCACATGACCCTCAACCCACCATCCCCACCGTGAAACATGGCGGTGGCAGCATCATGTTGTGGGGATGCTTTTCTTCAGCAGGGAAATGGAAACTTGCCAGAGTTGATGAAAAGATGGATGATGGAGCGAAATACAGGGCAATCTTAGAAGAAAACTTGTTAGAGTCTGAAAAAGACTTGAGACGGGCGGAGGTTCACCTTCCAGTAGGACAATGACCCTAAACATACAGCCAGAACTACAATGGAATGGTTTAGGTCAAAGCATATTCAAGTGTTAGAATGGCCCAGTCAAAGTCCAGACCTAAATCCAACTGAGAATCCGTGGCAAGACTTGAAAATTGCTGTTCACAGACGCTCTCCATCCAATCTGACAGAGCTTGAGCTATTTTGCACAGAAGAATGGGCAAACATTTCACTCTCTAGATGTGCAAAGCTGGTAGAGACATACCCAAAAAGTCTTGCAGCTGTAATTGCAGTGAAAGGTGGTTTTGCAAACTATTGACTCGGGGGGCTGAATACAAATGTACGCCACACTTTTCAGATATTTATTTGTAAAATATTTTGAAAACCATTTATCATTTTCCTTCCAATTCACAATTATGTGCCACTTTGTGTTGGTCTATCACATAAAATCCCAATAAAATATATTTACGTTTTTTGTTGTAACTTGTTGTGTGATGGGAAAATTTCAAGGGGTATGAATACTTTTTCAATATATATATTATAAAATATATGTATTTTTTAATGGTATGGGTAGGGAAAGGCCTACCCTGTCAGCTTTTCATTGGTTTCTGTGTCCCTATTGCAGATTTCCCCTCACTAGCTGTGTGGTGAAAATGGAAATAAGGAGAACCCCTCTAATGGAGTAGTGAACAGCAGTAAAAAAAACTGACAAGGGTTTTAAACACTACTCTATCCAAAACAAAAATAAATGTTTTGAATTGAAATACACTTTAAATTAGTAAGACATCTATCTATATTAAAATGGGGAAAAAGCCTTGTGTAATATTTACAAACGTTATTTCTGAATTTGAATTTACTGTTTTGCCTTCTGTTTCCTTATTTCGTCATTTCATCTTAGCATTACTAATGCTGTAAGCAGTACTAAGCATGACCTGTATGCTGAATTTAACAAAAAAAAATTAAACCGGTGTTAAGTAACTGTGACAACATGAGGGTTCTTGAGGTTACAATAATACAGTGTGTGTGTATCTAATAAACTCTGTTCTATTTATTTTATGCCAATATAAACAATAGAAAAACTATTACGTATGCCTCGTGACCTTCTCAACTGAAATGAAATGCTTACATTTCCTTTCCAGTATTTATAGTAGAATTGGTTTACATTAAAGTCCGCCTCGGTGCCTTGTTAAAATACTTTAAAGCAATTGCTGTTATTACTCCACAGGAGAATGACTCAGGAACTCTGGACACTGTTGGAGCAATAGTTGTTGACCAAGATGGAAATGTAGCTGCTGCTGTCTCCAGTGGTGGACTAGCCATGAAACATCCTGGAAGAGTTGGCCAGGTGAATATTCTTTTATGTAGAATATGACTCCTCTATTGTTTCTGTTTCAAGGAAAATGTCACCCTTGGTTTTTAGTTAATTGAACCACCTTCCCTTTTTAGAGCTATGGCAACAGCAGGGGTTAAATACAGAGAATCCTTTGGTAATGTAGATGTGGTAAATCCGCTATATTTTAGTAGCCAAAAAAATAAAAAAAAAATCCCTGGTATATTGCAATCACTGTGAAGAGCAGCTCACAACTAGTAAAGTCTGTCAGTAAACTGCTGATACACTTCAGGAAAAAGCAACAGTCAAAAAGTTATTTCTATTTACAAGGCATGACCTGTTTCACAAAAATCTGATTTTTTTCATTATTTTTAGAAATACATCCTGTTTTCACGTGATTCAACACTCCACAACATAATTTTAATGCCTAAGTTTGTATTGGTGAGGCTCCAATGGGCTTAGATGGGGTCTTGCTTGAATACGCTATAAGTTTCTAAATCAGGATCTTTTAGATGACACCTATATAGACTGAACGGTAGCCAGTTGTACACCATACATGTCATGATGTAAGATTGGAGTCGGCAAACAAGTAAGCTGTCGAAATCACAAATGAATGAATTTTTTAAATGCTCTTCTTGCAAAAAGGAAACCGTATTTAGTCAAAGGCCTTACAACCTAAAAAATTGTAGCTAGTAGTCAGCAGTGGCATCCTCTATTTTTGTCTTGGCTCAAATTTCCAATTAAGGGGGTTAGTAATTAACTATTCAAAATTGGATTACCTGGAAAAGAAACTGATGACTTCTTACCTCTCTTACACTGCCATTCACTCCCAATTCATGAGTGCCAATCTCATAGGGCCATGCAGTGCTAAGTGGATTCTTTGCCTAACCTCTATGTCATGCAATGAGTGGAGGTCAGAGGGGAAACCACTGAACACTGCAAAGATGATTAACTCTCCTGTAAGTGTTAGTTTACTTTCTGATTTCAGAATAGGATTTCTCATGAACCAAACGGGATGGCCAGAGGGAAAGGGTAAATATTCACTACTTTTTCAGGTATGCACATTTTAAATTGTAATAATTAAAGACAGGGTTGCTTTTAAAGTAGTTGTAAAGGCATATTTTCCCCTACAATTAAGAGGTTTATACTTATCTGCTCTATGCAATGGAATGCTCAGTGTGGTCCCTTACCTCCTCTTCTGGAGTCCCGCTGGCACTCTCTGCTGCTGCCCTTCTTGTTGTTCCTCCATAGCAAGCTGCTTGCTATGAGGGCACATGTGCCAATGTTCTCCCGAGCCAGGCTGTGTGCATACATACACAGACACAGCACGGCTCAGCCCCATCCTCTGTTCCATCCCCCAGGAATTGATTGACAGCAGCAGGAGCCAATGGCTGTGCTATGAGAAGAGAACGAGAGACAATGGGTGCTGCAGATGGCTACAGCGCTGCATTGAGCAAGGGCACAGGTAAATGTTGTGGAGGGGTGAAAAAAATCTGTGGGACATATGTTACCTTAATGCAGGAAATGCATTAAGGTACAAAATGATTTGGCTTTATAACTACTTTAAGCCTAGGTTCACACATGCGGTGCAGGAAAATCAGTGATCTCTGAGCATTTCCCACACCACATTGCAATCACACCATGTTTGCGATCCACTGCGGGCTTCAAGACAAAGTTAACAACACTCCAAACACATCACAATCGCTGTGCAGTTTGCCCACACTGGATCTCATGGTACAAAAAGACCATACGATGCGGTTGTGGTGCAGTTCCAAAAAAGGTGCTTGCACTTCTTTGATGCAGTGTGGAGCAATATGAGCCCATTCTGAATGTGCTCTAGTTGCGTCACACTGAATTGCATTTGAATTGCACAGGAAGGTGGTGAGATTCCTGTGCGCTTCACATGCTGTTCATAAAGTGAACAGAAGCTAAAGGATAATAAAAGATTTCCATGCTGCATCCTGGACTTCTCTTTCATTTTAGGTTCAAAAATATTCACCTTCAGGCCTTTGGCAACTTGGCGATCGGATTTCCATAGAAATGCAAGTGCTGTAGACCTCTTCATCTTCGCGCTGCCTTGAAGTCCCATAGGCTATAGTTGATTCCTGTCAACCTTTATTGTTAAGAATAAAGAATAAGAGGAAAATCATTTACAGCCTACTGAGCTGTGGGGTGCAGGTGTCGAGTTGAAAAGTAGGTCTCCGCCCTTACGTTTCTATGGATACCGACTCACTGAGTTGTCAAACGCCATGCAGCAGCTTCTCTGTCGGGAGGCAAGTATTTTTGACTGTTAAGATGGCGGTGAGGGCTAAAAGGGAACATATTCGGTTAAATGTTATATATGAATGAAAGGCTCCAAAAGTTTTCTGAAAATTTAGTGTGCCCAGCTATCGCTTTATAAATCCTTCAGAGCGCTCCAAAAATGCTATAGGTGTTAAGGTGTGGTTACAGAATTACCAATGAAATCAATAAAGGCAGCTGGAAAGTGTCAATGCCTCATGAAAGCAACATGCTGCATCTCCACATCTGTGTGTACAGCACTGTATAGTGTGATTGTTACATTTATGGCAGACATTGAAGGGCAGTTATGTAGTGGTGCACCGAAATGAAAAATTCTGGTGCTGCAACTGAAAATTCAAGATGCACTTGGCCGAAAACCAAAGTGGACAGTTTTTTAAATTTTTTACAAAAATTAATGTGGCTGACAACTTTGCATTGTCACTAGGGGGAGTTTTTGCATTAAAATCAACAGGGACGTGACTTTGCATGAAAGTCGATGCGATGCGATGTTGCATTGAAGTCACCAGGGGGGTTTTTTTGCATAAAAGTCTCGAGACGTGCCTTTGCATGTATCGGTACCATTATCTGCAGTTTTTTTCCCCTATCTGCAAAATGCCGATAACGACCGATATGTTTCGGCTGCCAATATATCGGTGCATCCTTAGTTATGAGGCTTTAAAAATGCTGAATAAATGCCTCTTAAACATGGGATTAACGCACGTGTTAACCAACCGTAAGACAAAGCATGTTAAAATAAAATTTGCATAGTTAAAATGTTAATTTCAATTTGTTCTTGTTTTGAATTTCAATAATGCTATTTTGGGAATGTTACTGTTGCTCATGACTATTGTAACTTTTATGTCTTAAGTAATAAGTCATGTCAAGGACATGGGTGTATGACGACCTGTAATTTACATGCTGCACAAGTGAAATCTGATGCTATGTGTAGAAAACCCCCTCTAGTGGCTCAACGTGTTTGTGCAATGCATCTTCAGGAAAACCTTCTGGAGCTGTTATCTATTATTACTTTAAAAATTTACTTAATCAGTTATGCTTTGAGGTGCCTTTACACACTTCAATGTTTATGTGCATTTGTAATTAACAACAGCAGAATTACACTAGTTAAGGTTGGCAGAAAATAGGAATCAACAAAATGCATACAACTTAAAATTAAACCTAAAAATATATTTAAGGCATGCAGCTGGCTGACCCTTAAACAGGTAAAAATGTCTAAAGTGGAACGTAAAGTAAAGCTAGCAAACACATCTAGATGCCCATCTACCACCTCTGCTGCTCTGTAGAGTTTCCTGGGGCCCCATGTAATGCAATTATCCACCAAGCTTTCTGGTCACTGGCCCCGTTACCATCAACCTATATGTCTAATTGTTAATAAAGTGGACCAAGCATCATGCATGTTCATTTTGCTTGCTAAGTAATGTATCACACATCAGTTATTTATTACCCCTTACAGCGATTGTAGTACTACTTTCTTAAAAAGTCTAAATCATTTATCATATTTTTTTCTCTGGAAATCAGTTGCCACTTTTCTTCAGGCACTTGCCATGGTTAGCATTTATTTTCTGGGCTGAGATTCTAAATTAGAGATGACCCAATCATAGAAATCCAGGTGCAGTTCTTGGCAGTGCCCACAAATGTCAGGTACAGATACATCCCCTCACTCTGACTTGCTTCAAAGTTACATTGTTGCTTTCTGAAGAGTACACACAATCTTGTAAATAATTACAAGCAGTATGAGTGCTCAAAATGAAAGTGAGCTATGAAGGTTCAAGTCCTTAGGGGCCTAACACTGGATGCAGGAATTAGTGAAGGCATTGACATCTATGACACACATGCTCTGGCAGCTTCTCCCCAAAGATCAGGGAAATCTCTCACATACATGTAAAGGAAGAAAAGCAGGGCACTGACCTGGCTCCCTGCTTTTTCTTGCTTTCTGAAGAGACTGAGGAAATGCACCCACCTGGCTGCAGCAGTTGATGGTATAATCCCAAAGAAAATGATATAGTATCACCCCTAATCCACGTATCTTGTGAAAAAAATATATTAAAGCTCAGAAAAAGTCGCGTGATAGAAAAGAAATTAGTCCAGTGTTGAAATGAATTCATGTGACGTAAAAAACATAAACATGTTGAAACTCTGTGCTGAGCCCACCATGCACCCCCACTCAGGTGTGCACTCACCAGAAATAGCCTTTTTTTAAAGCATAATCAAGAGGATATCCATTAATTAGACCAGGAGGTTCCTCTAAGAATCACCCTTCTAAGATTGGTTGCCAGGATCATTGAAAAACTGCACTCCACCATATCATGGAAAGAGAAGAAAAATATCCGCTCCAATAGTATATTATTCAAGACAAATTACTTTATTGCTCCAAGTAATACACTTACAACATTAAAAACATCAACAAGGCTAAATGATCAATCCTAGTGTCACGCAGATTCCGCATGGTGCTCTCACCACCTCTGGAACTGTTGGGCAGAACGCCATAACGTCACTTCCGGTCTGTCGCACCGTCACGCACTGACGCGTTTCGTCGTATCCTGACTTACTCATAGGGGTGACGGTGCAGTGCGGCTTACCACTTATATCAGGCGACATTAATTGGATCACCAGATTGATAATTATGTTTAATTGATTCACTACCATCTCACAGGAAGTGATACCAATTACTGGCAACCACCAAGCTCCATGCGTATGCTATAACAGGGCAAAAATAT